AGGAATTAAAATCGCAATTTTATTACCCAAAAGGGCATTATTCACAACCTCATCTAGTAAGTGATTATTCCATTATTCCAAGGACAAGGTTTCTGTGATAATTTATCTTCAGTCATTAAAAAAGAATCATTTTACAAACTCTCCATTCCCCTTCTTAGGGTCTGGCCCGGGGTCTGGGTAATCAGACAGCCATTTTGTTACCCTCTAACCTGTCCTGATGAGTTCTGATGTGATTCATTTTGTTTTTGAAATCAAGTAAAAAGTGCATGTGTGAGGTAGTCTTAAACGGAGTGAATTCTCATTACAGCTGTCACAAGCAAGAACGACATACATTACTTAAGGAACTCACCCGCTTTTCTTTTCCTTAATAATAAAATAATGTATCCTTGACTAACCCAAGAGATATCCCAATTATCAACTGTATTAAACAATGATATCAATGCCAAGAAATAAAACAAAGATGGTTTGAAGTAAATGCAAAACGTTCGCTTTAAAATTATCATTTTACTCGATCATTACATTAACTTAGAGCTCACGCTGATTCCTTTACAAACGTACGGTTATTAGTCTAAGAATAACAACTGATAACAGTCAAACATGTATTAATTGGGGAATGGCTGAATGACTGCTTAATACATGTTGACCTTTTAATACAGGTTTAACAAACTTAGGAGCTTATCAAGAAAATAAAGATGGTGACATAGTGAAATATCCATAGCACGACAAGTCAGGGGCACCCAATGGATCTGTTCCTCAAAATATCTGTTCTTCAGGTACATTTTTGCTGGCTGGGAGATGTGAAAGAAATAATAGTCCTTGGAAGGAAAGTGTTGCTGGGAAAAAGATAATTCAGGGTGTCAGAGGGGATTTGAAGTCTGGAATAGCTGCTACGGGTTACTTGTATGAGTTACTTACCACTCAAGATCTGAATTGTGCCCTATGAAACTTCCCAGTAAGTTAGGTTGCAGGTTGTAAGGTAGCTGGCTGGGAACTCTTCCATCAGTCTTGCTGGGAGTGAGGAACAGATAATTTTTTTCCAGCAATCTCCCAAAATGCTTAAAATAGTCTCAGAAAACTTTATTCACGCTTTGTTGTTGTTTTTAGGTCTTTTTCTCAAAATTTCCCGTTGGGTGCCCCTGGACAAGTTGACCGGGCAAAAGGGTCCACAACTGGTGTTTTACCTCTTCTTACGCCAAAGCAAAGGTGCTTAAAGACTAGTAAATGCTGCCGTGCACATTGTTTCTATTGCACTTGTGTGGTTCATCTTGACAAGGTGACCGTTAAAGACACTGGGGATAATAAAAAATAACTTGTTGGGATCACGGAAATGGTGACCGAGGCGCGACTGCTTCAGAATATAAGTGACCGCTCAAAATACAGGTCAGTTCTACAGTAATTTAGGGAAATGCTTTCAATCTCACCATTCTTACCTACACTAAAAAAAAGTCTCTAGTTGGACTGTTCACATCTTCTTGATAGCTCTTTTAAGTTATAAGCCGCCTTCATGCTCTGCATGACAAGCTGATAACGAGCTTAATGCTCTTCTCCTATCTAATCACCACACGGGCCACGATCAGCAGTCGTTTTAAAGCATACTTCTATTACCTCCCCAACCAGTCGTCAACCCTGGGAACGATCTTGTTACCTTCCTCAATACAGCCCTCTATCGTTAACAAATATATTTTATCTGGAGATGACTTACCCGAGCATTAAAACAAAGCTTGTTTAATTTATATTAAAGATTCTTCTACATGTCAAGCGCAAATCAAAGCGGAATTCACAACTCAAGAAAAGCTATATTAGAAGCCTTTCACTGATCTTCACTTGTTTTATTAACTGAAAAAGGTCAGGAATATAATTTTCTTTTCCCAATTTGCCTAACGTATTGATACTTTAATCGCTTCAGGTTAGGTCAATCAGTGAGGCAGTGAACAGTTACTAGAAGAGCTTGAATTGACACACTCGATTAATCCCGACCCTAATTAAGTTTAGGACCAACAGCGGCTTTTTCTGCAAAAACCTCGTAGCTGTACTTGATAGCTTACTTGTCGCCCTCCAACTCTTCAGATTTTTTGCCTTCCAAATTGATAAAATTGCTTAACTGCACCTTAATAGTTTCTGATGGATGTTCAACATTCACTTTTTTAATTTGTTTGTTTGTAAGCTCTTTTTGGCGGTGTTTTTTGACGTCAAATCGTATCAAGATGGCACAGAGAATCACTGATATTAAATCTGTTGTTAATGTTGTTAATGTTTTAATGTTGTTAACTGCTGTTAATGTCAAAATTTGTAAAATCATCCTCAGAGCTCACTATTCTGTAAAAGTCGAAATTAATGAACAGCCAAGTTTAGTTAGGAAAGGCTGTGGAAAAGTACATGCACACTGACATCACGTGAACCCGTTAGTAAAGAACAAAGACTTATTTGTCCCGTTTATCCAGACCAACCTGTCAAGATCCAGTCTAACCTGTTTTAATGCGTCAATCAAGGTGTGTATTTTGGTTCGATTTGGCCTTAAAATTGATCTACCCTCAGCCACAGAAGTCAGTTCAGCTTAGTCGGTGACGGAGTGAACTACAACAGCTTAACCGGACTTTTGAGTACTGTTTTAAAAAAGCAGCAATTTCTTCTCAACATGGCTCTTTCAAAGCAAGTAAGTGAATTTTCAACCTTAAGTCGAATCTACTCTGGCAATAAGGACAAACGTAGCCGCATTTCATAGCATACTACCAGACAACTCCCTAATTGCATTCCCCAAACTCACTTAATGCAAGAAAGACAAAGCTGTATTGTTTTATGTTACGCCTGCCCTTTTCTAATATTTATGGAAGAGAGTTTTTCAACTCTAAGCTAAGATTTTGAGGAAGTTGAATCTACTTTGGCAAATGTTAACGTAGCAGCATTTCATAGCATACTACCATGCTACACCCCAGCGGTAGTTATAAAACATTTCCATAATGCCAACAATCAGATATTGGATGAAAGATCAGGCTGTGTAATTTTTCCGAACTTTTTTACAAAAGGAAGCTTAGAACATAGAACAATTTCTTTCTTTCGTTTGGAATAAAACTCTAAGATTAATAATCACGCAGAACAGCAAAAAAGAGGTTAAAAATCTCAAAACAGACTGAGACAAACCTCATCCTTCCAGTCCTAAAATCACTATAGTATAATTCTGTCCCGACAAAAAGCTTTAAGTTTGTAGTGGATATAATACTTTACTCAAAGTTAACTTTATCGATTAGTGAAATCTGATGCAACTTGAAATAGTTGCAATTTGCAATTTTGCAATTTAGTCGTGCTATAGGTTATGGTTTTTGATTCTCGCGTAAAATAAAACAAAAATCTTCAAAATTATTAATTGGCGAACGTGATATAAATGTTGAATCGAAAATCAATTGATTTTTTTAGAGTGCTTTTACTAAACCCGTGAAACAGTGTGAGTCACAATTAGTGCCAAATAGTTACAGGTAAACAAAGAAAAACAATACAATTAGAGGGTATTATAGTTCGTAGTAGTCTATCTATTTCACGGCTTAAGTAAAATCATTCTAGATGGATACTCTCTGAATAGCTTTGCTTTTGCACCTATATTTGGAATTTTACAAACCTGAACGGTGTCAAGCTTCCTAATCTTTAATTAACTTTGCAAGCCACACTTGCATTTATGCGAATTTATTTTGGTGTACTTTTTAATGCAGGTTATCAAAGATGACATGGCGATGACATACCACATGGAAGGATCTGTCGATGGGCATTTCTTTACAATCGAGGGTGAAGGCAGCGGGAAACCGTACGAGTAAGTCGATCAATACAACTCCCTTCATCTTTAGGTCATGTACATGTTAAGTGCAATAGCTCTTCACTGTTATCAGTCGGGAGAACGAGATTTCTAACACCAGAAAGCTCAGAAACAATTCCGAGCTCCAGGTGAGAATCGAACTCACGACCCTCTGAGTTCTAGTTCGGATGCTCTTGAACCACCGAGCCACTGGAGGCTCTATTAACCCTTTACTAGGCCCTGAGATCAAAATTTGAATTCTCATTTGTTGCCCTTATTCATTTCTAACAGAGGTAGTAAGGAGAAATTGATAAAATATCAAGCAAATTCATCTTGTATGATCATTTCCGTGATTCGCATGACCGTGTCCGTTTTACAAAGCATTGATATTACAAGCAGAAATTTGATGCTGATCACTGTTAGCGCGTATTGGTTGAAGGCGCGAGCAGGGTTGATATTTAATTATAACTACACCAGTCATTAAGTTCATTTAAGAGAATAAAGCTAGTCATCAACTTGGGAATATTTTTACGTTGCAAAGTCAAATTCTCAAATTATTTTAAATCAGCTGTACTGAGTATAAAGCGAAAGATTATGAAAACTCGATCATGCCAAAAAAGTATTATGGCCTTTGGTGCAATAGAAAGTTCTATGAAGTGAAAGTGGTTTTACTGATCATCACCAGAAATTAATAACGACTTTCCTTTGAATGGTAAATTTGACACGGATATGATGAAACACGTTGGTATTTAGCAATAGGCGACGACGATCGTTAATTTTTTGCTGATACTATCAGGATCAAACGTCATTTATATCATCATGATACTATTATCTCAACGGTGATTCTGCCACAGTGATGACCTGACCGTTTATTTCCGGACGGATTAGTTTTTTTTTTTTTTTTTTTGAAAAGGAAACAAATGAAAACTTATTACATTAAAATAAACCTTTTCAACAGTGTTAAATGCTTTGGGGTGTAGTTAAGTATTATGAAAGAGGTATTTTTTCGCAATAGGACTTGCCAATAATAAACCCTTGTCGACTGGCGCGAATTAGCATTGGAGAAACGAAATGAAACTAAAGTATATAGCAGGCTGTCCTAAACCTTTCCCGCTATTTAGTTAAATTACACTGGTAAATGGGCAGTGTTTAGCCTAGTTCTCAAAAGGCTCCTCTCTGCTTTTCATATTTTGTTTAATTCGTTTTTGTGTTTGTTGTTTTCATTTTTTGTAGAGGAAAACAGACTTTAAAACTGCGAGTAACCAAGGGTGGACCCCTCCCATTCTCCTTTGACATATTGTCATCTGTGTTTTGCTATGGTAACAGAGCCTTCACTGATTATCCTAAAGGAATCGTTGACTATTTCAAGCCATCATTTCCTGATGGATACACGTGGGAACGAAGTCTTCAGTTTGAAGATGGCGGATCTTGCATAGCCAATGTGGATATAAGGTATAAATTTACTAATTTTACGATCAAAGACGCTTAAAATTTAGAATTAACTAATTAATTATAAGAAATATAACAATATTGATAACAATAATAATAAAAATAATACAAAAATAAATTTTGTTACTGTCTCATAAGTTCCTTTTACTTCGATAGCCTTGACAGTAAACGCAATTGCTTTATCCACAAGTCCACTTTCACTGGGATGAATTTTCCTGCTGATGGACCAGTGATGCAAAAAAGAACAACTAATTGGGAGCCTTCCGTCGAGAAAATGACTGTGAGCGAGGGGATATTGAAGGGAGATGTTACCATGTTCCTCTCGCTGAAAGATCGGAAAAAGCACCGTTGCCAGTTCCATACGTTATACAAGTATGTTTTTTGAGTTTCTTTCTCAAAGTAACAATATTAGAGAACAGTTTAAGATACCACGACGTCGGTGGCGAGCAAACGTCACTTAAAAAGTGACTTCACGCGTTCATTGTTTCATTACTCAGGTTTACCTTTTTAGCTTTTTGATACTTTGGTTAACTACATCTAGTTACGCTCTCAACGTTCCAGGCCCTCAGATTTTGGGGACAGTGCAAATTAAAAGTGAGCAGGAAAAAATGATTATCTAAACGCCTGGAACTGCAGGTTACACGAGTAACTGGTTTATATTTTGGTCAAACCCAACTTTCAACGATCGTTCCAGAGTATTCACCCTAGGCTTTGAGTACTTCATGTGGGTGGCATTCTCTAGGTTTAAAATGGAATTGTGTTACAACACAATATATATTTTTTTCTGCACAGAGCAAAGAAGGCTGTCGAATTGCCGACGGAAAGCCACTATGTGGAGCATCGCCTGGTGAGGACTGACCTTACTGCTGTAGAAGTTCAACTGGATGAGCATGCTGTTGCACGTTTAAACACCGTGTGAGCTAGAATCGTTTTCCTTTTGTACTGACCCTGATATCATTATAATGGAGATCAGGTCAGCAGAAAATAAAGCACGAGTGAAATGATTTACTGCGAAGTGTTATCTTTACTCAACCATAACTGCTCGCTACTGAAACAAATATGAACGCGAATATTACTTTTTTCTCGTGTCCTTGTTTCCACCCCCTCGATCTTCCCACTTCCCCCTTCTTTTCGTTCTGTATTTTATTTTCATGCTTATTCGAAACGGCACCAAACTCACCGCGTTTTGGTCCTCAACTTGTAGCTGCGATTTCCGGGATCTATGTTTTCTAAACTTCAGCTAGAACGGCGCTTTGCAGAGAATCCTGTAGCCTGCAGTTTAGAAAACTTAACGCTACGAGTGCATCTATCGCTTATTTTTTATTCTTAGCTCTAAAAAAGAGACAACATTACCCAAAAATATTTATAAAGACACTGAAGACCACAGCAACAGACTAGTCAGGTGGGACAGCCGGATCAGTGTGTAGGCCTCCGAATACCAACCAAGTAGAAAAACAGTAAAATGATCTTTACGGCAAGAAAAGCGAGAGAAAAATATAAAGAACAAAAAAATTTAAAATTTATTTCTTGATATTTTTTCTCTTGAGGTAAGGATCAGTTTTTAATGTTTTTTCTACTTACCCTTAAGCTTCCAAGGTAAATGATTTCTTATGACTCTTTTCTTGACTCATATAATATAGGAAAGAAACATTCATGTCACAAAGGCAATCTCAACTTCTTCTATAGCAATAATAAAAAAATAAAATAAAGTAAAACCATCCCCTCCCTAAAGAATTTAAACCCTCCAACAGCCTTGCTAACCGCATCATCGGTGCACGGAAGCGATACTGCGTTATATACACTGGCCGCCATGCTAAAAGAGTCCTCCCAGACGCTAGTTTAGAAAAGGTTGGTGTCCAAACAAAATCTGCAGAAGAGGATGTGAGAACGCTGAGTGCCCTCCCCACCCCCGCCCCAAACGCTTTCGAAACGCCTTTTATATACACTGGCCGCCATGCTAAAAGAGTCCTCCCAGACGCTAGTTTAGAAAAGGTTGGTGTCCAAACAAAATCTGCAGAAGAGGATGTGAGAACGCTGAGCGCCCTCCCCACCCCCGCCCCAAACGCTTTCGAAACGCCTTTTACGCAAGCTACGGGAAGCGAGTGGTATTAAGGTAATAGACATTGATGTGAATTCCTTCCGGGAACACCATTATTTGACTTCTTTCTATGACAAAAGCAAAGCGGGTGGCAAAAACATATGGGTGAATGTTGCAAAAAGAATTAATTTAGCATTAGAGGGGAGAAGTTCGGGCCCTTTAAAATTTTCATAAATTTTGCACCTAATAGTGCCTTACAAATTATTACCATAAAAGGATGACCCTGGTTTCATCCTTTTTGACATGATAGTGGCTTATCAGTTTTGCTAAAATTGATCGATCAACTGAATTTCAATTTAGGTGTCCCAATTAATTAGCAGCTGGGAAAATGAGCTACGACCGGACTCGAGAAAATACCGGCATGGAATACTGTTTTTGAAGCGAGGTTGCAGCTCACACTGCTGGGCTTTTATCTCAGGAGCCTGATAATAGGCGGATTTAGCGACAGGACGGGAACGTCAGTTGGCGACCGGAAAGAGCGCGGAAATGGCTAAACACGACTTCCGGTACCCAATTTACCGCTCTGCCATTGGTCAAGCCAGTTGTTTGATTTGGCGCGCCGTTGACTTGTCAACTGACGTTCCCGCTCTCTTGCTAAATCAGCCTAATGTGGAATGTCCTATGAGTTTTCATGTCCTAAGTGAAAATTCAAGGAATTTAAATAGAGTTAAAAACTTGTTAGCGGAGCTCCGCGCGCGAAGCGCGTCTGCGGAGCACCATGAGTAAATAAATCTAACCATCCCAGAAAACTTGGTAATCACGTGACCGACCGACCCAGCGACCGACCGACCGTCCGTCTGCACCACAGGCATACCAATGTTTACTCTCGCACTTTCTAGCTACTTTGGGAGTCCAGGGGAAAGCTGATTGCACATCAATGTTGTCATCAATTGACAGCTGTCAAAACAGGGTATCCGCTGACCAGTATCACCTGGCCGTATCGCGGGCTCAGGTGTCGACCCAATGAGGTCGAGTATTTTTTGAAGTTATCCGCTGACAATTCACTCGTTTTCAAATGATCGATTTTAAATTCATATTCAATATGTTGTGTTTATGTCAGTATCGCACCGCAAAATTACGATTTTGATTTCAAACTGACCTCAGACGCAAAAATTCAGCCAGTTTTTTTAAAAGACAGGCGGGGAAGACCTTTTCTTACCATGGTCACGTGTTGGTCACGCTCCACGTCCAATTTTTACGCTCTGATTGGTTAAAATTTGACAGGTGAGTTCATGCGTAAAATTTATGTAGCATCTTGAAAGTTGTTTACTTTGAACCAACTTTCCTGCTAATGGACCAGTGATGCAGAAGAAGACAACTAATTGGGAGCCGTCCGTCCAAAAAATGACTGGGAGCGTGGGGATATTGAAAGGGGATGTTACCATGTTCCTCTCGCTGAAAGATGGGAAAAATCACCGTTGTCAGTTCTATACGTTATACAAGTATGTTTTTAAGTTTCTTTCTCGAAGTAATAATATTAGAGAACAGTGTAAGACACCACGACGTCGGCGGTGAAGAAAACGTCACTTTAAACTAAAGCGCGATCACGATCCAAACTTGCTCTGACGTTATCTTTTGTTGTCACACTTGGGCTTTAGTAAAAGGCCTAAACTAAGTTCAACAGAATGTAAAACAAACTTTGCCATAGTAAAACTCATTAGTTGACGTCCCAGACGGTTTCTTGATTAACCTCGAATTTCAGGAATAATAGGCACTTTGCATGATTTGATCACGTGATCAACTTTCGGTAAACACGAAAACAGTTCGCTTTTGAAAAACTTTGTTAGCACAAGCTGAAAAAGCATATTAAAATTAGGTAACCTGAGAATTTTCAGCCGTATATGTACTGTCGCACTTTGTAATAATCGTCGCACTTTGTAATACCTGTCGCACTTTGTAATAAAATTGTCACACTTTGTAATACCTGTCGCACTTTGTAATAACACTTGTCGCACTTTGTAATAAACTTGAAATAGATGGTCGGAGGACAAGTAAACCCAGTAATCAGTGTCATCATCGACAACAACGACAATAATAATGATAATAATAATAATAATAATAATAATAATAATAATAATAATAATAATAATAAAGTAAAAACTTGCAAGAGGTGACAGGCCGCACATCTTCACCGGCGAGAAACCTTTGAAAACCTTTTACATATTGCTCCATTGAGAAGAACTCTTTCAGGGATCTTACAGTTTAATATTTGAACCATGATATAGCTTATATATAGCGAACCAAGATACGGCTTGGTACAGTTTATGTTCAGCAAGGGAAAATTGTGCAAGTTGAGCAGAACCTTTTAAATGTACAGCAGACAATTTGTTCAGTTCGCGCGTATTCCTGTTGAATTTGTGGCCCGTTTATGAGATTTGTCTACTCAAAAATATAACAATTTTTCCATAGCTGCTGTAATCGTAGGGTATCTGCTTTTAATATCTTCGTAAAGTTTAGGTTTACGCGATCTCAGAGAACAATGTTCAGCTGTGCACAGCGCGTAGCCTTTAGCTATATCCAGATCTAACACTGGTTTTGTGTATTTATCACAATGATGCCGTTTCATGTAGGTTCCAGCGTATTCGAAATTTCCACAACATTCATTAGTAGTGGTCATCGTGGCACAATGACGTGATATGCAATGTTTTAAAGAACATTTTGGTGCGAAAATA